GGGACCCCAAAGCTGGATGCAGCACTGCAGGTGGGGTCTCATGAGAGCAGAGGGGCAGAATCACCTCTCTTGCCCTGCTGGCCACACTGCTTTGGACATAATTGGCTTTCTGGGCTGCAGGTGCACATTGATGGGTCATAGAGAGCCTGACATCTGGCAGCACCCCCAAGGCACTCTCAGCAAGGCCGCTCTCAAGCCCTTCATCCCATGTTTACCCAATAACAGTTATTTTGCCTACAGTAATTTTGACTGTCAGATCCTGCTGGAGGAAATAACCAAACAGGATACTGTTTGCTTGTGGCCAGAAGAGCAGAAGCATTTAGCCTTGTTTTGTGAAATTTGTAGCAGTGACTTAGGGTGAGCTGTGAGGAAAGTTCAAAGAGGAGATAAATAGTAAATCACAAGTGGGTGTTAGGTTGCAGTGTAGGAGCTGTGGCACAGTGCTTGTGTACGTTATTGTATCCATGCAATGGTGTGATAGAGTGGTCCATGGACTCTTGAGTAGCTCAGGAGTAGTAACACAGATCACATACTGTTTTACTGCCTTTGCCAATAAAAGAACTAACGTTTATAAAAAATAATCCCAAAATAAACCTGCAGTAGTTCTTGAAGGGTAGTTCTTAAAGCAGCTACATTGTGAATCTCCTAATGGTCTATGGTTTTTGAAGAAGTCTTAACAAGTACTTGAAATAAAAAAATCAGCTAGGAATTACTCAACAGCCCAGAAAGTAGTGTGATTTGGTATTAGGTAGAGATTGTAAAGACAGTAGAAAGGACAAGCATTTGGAAACAGCTTCAAGGAAATGCCTCACAGAGAAACTTCCTGTGCAGACAGAAACTAAGTTGTGGGTCTCAGATTCAGTCAAAGAAAGAAACTAAGAGTTTCTAGCCAGGCAAAAGCCTGGGAAAGAGCTGGGAAAGAATGTAAATAATTCTTTATCTCTCTTGTTTTTCACATTGTTTATAGTTAAGTTCTATCACTGTGCGTCAAGCACTCTGCATCAATGGTGTGGGTTGTTTTCAGTTCAGAACCAATGGATTTGGTTCTTCTGAAGCTCTGTATAAAAGAGCAGTGTATTTTGAATAAATCGGAGTTTTACTCTCAGCAGCCTTCTGAGACAGAGTCTTCTCATTCCCGTCCTGCCTCGACATTGACACTAAGTTTAAGACATTTAGCTTCTAGATAGATTGAACAGAGTTGTAGAAGGAACTATTAGAGTAATTCAGGACCAGTTACATGATGTGGCACAAAGTTGTCCCTTGCTCTTTCATACAGGTAGCATAATTCGTTGCATGAGGCGTCTAGAAGAACTTCTTCGGCAGATGTGCCAGGCTGCAAAAGCCATTGGGAACACAGAACTGGAAAATAAGTTTGCAGAGGGTATGTATTTCACTTTCACAATACATTAAGCAATTTTAAAAGAAGTGATGGGGGAGGGGGCTACACAGGTAGTGAGGACTGAAGGTGAATAGTTTTGTAATGTGAAGTTCTCATGTTTACATCATAGTAAACAGCACTATTGCTGTTATCTTTCCAGATAACATCTTTATTACAAAGTTCTACTTTAAAGGGTGCCTAAAAATGGATGTACAATGACTTCCATTTAACCTGTAACATGCTTATAACTGTACTTGAAATAGTGGTTGTATCAGTTAAGACTCTTAGATATTAATATTTTTTTCCTTCCTAATAGGGATTACAAAAATCAAGAGAGATATTGTGTTTGCTGCAAGCCTTTACCTGTAACAGCAGATGTCTTCCAGAAACTATACTGACATGATGGAACAAATTCATCAGTGTCACATGTGGCTTCCATATCAAGCAATTCCTTTTAATGGTGTTTACTTAAACCACAGTTGATTCAACAAGGCATGTACAAACAGCAGTGTATGTAATATAACTTGTTACAGTTTTCAATAAAAATTTACAGTTGTAATAGCTTTCTTTTAAGCAAGAGCTTGAACCAACAGAAATTTAAAGTTTAGATGTACAATAACTGTGGTAGATGTTACTATATACAGATTAAGTGAGCAGCCAAGAGCAGCAGCAGCAGTCCCTTAAAGGCAATTACTTAAATTACAGAGTTAGACTTGTGAAATTGTTTTCTTTCAGAGCAATGTAGGTAATGTGGGTCATTCTTCACGGTTGATGATTGCTGCCAAAGTGATTTCCATTTGTTGGAGTCTCATGTAGGGTTGTATGGGAATCTTCTTTTGGTTGAAATGTACATCCTCTCACTTTGAAGAAGTCTGACACATACACAACCTAAGAGAAAAAATTAGTGTTGTGTTAATCAGTGTTCAAATTATTCCTACACTCACAAGTCTTTGAAACAAGAACTCTGCAGCAGGCAAATTCTATGACCAAAACTAATAAAAAGCTTAATCAGTTTAAAAGATTAGAAAATGTCAGGGAAGTCTTGTACAAAATTCAGACATCTGTTCTTTTGATAGTTTTTTCACCTTGCCATTGACCATTTAGCCACTGATGGTTTAAGCAAAATTCAAGGCTTCTGCTGACTGTCTTACCAGGCACTGCTCCCTTACAACAGCCTTAAGTCTGAACAGCTCTAAATGAAGGAGCAAAATATACTTTTTGAGGGCCCATAATGCAAGTTTTAGTTAATTTAGTTAATTTTTTTTCCTGTAGTTTAGTTAGAACAGAACAGGAGAGATGGTGCTTTAGCTGGACCCAGCAGCTGTAAGGCCAGCTCTATGTATGTAGTCCTTTTCTGCAGACCTTTAAACATAACACCTCACTTCTTCACAGCTAGGAGGTATCTCCCTCACTACAAGACAGGTGGTTGATTCAATTCTGCAGCTTGCTGTCTTCCACTGCTCATTTCATCAAGTCCCATAGCAGATGTGCTGGGCACAGTGCTGCATGGAGCGCAATAAATGAGAGCCTCACATGATTCCTCCCTGTATTGTGTCTTCCCCTCCCACTGCAACCCCAAGAACTGCAGAACACTGTCCATGGCAGAAGAAACAATCTCCCACCACACTGGCAGTCAGCTGATGATCCAGCACACTGCTTTAGCCACAGACCAGGGGAATTTCAGCTTCCACTTAAAGCCAGATTTCCTCAGTTCAATTTAGTGATCTATCTGCAGTTGCTGTGCTGCTATGCTCTAACCTCAGCTTGCTGTTTTTAGAGAGGAGCTCATCAGTTATTTCAGATGAGAGTCTGAGGGTGGTGGCTGGTGCTAGTGTATATTTTTAAAAATAATTTCCTGACCTTTCAACTCCACTTGCTGCAATGCTACTTTCTACTTTTTCTTGTATTACCAAGCACCTTCTGAATCATCCAACATCCTTGACTAAACTTGTTTTCCTAATAAAAGTGTTCTCACCTCTTTGATCTCTGATGTTTCTTAGGCTCTGTACTCTGTTTCTTAGAAAAAAGTGATTGGACAAAGATGAGGAGTAGGATTATGCCAACATGTAGCCATTTAGTAACAGCTAATGCAGCCTGTATGATTTCCCAGAGCTACTCCAAGATTGGATTATTGATTGCAACTAGTAGACAGCTTTGTCTCAAACCCTTCTGACCTGAGAAAGCTGACACAGCATTTATTGTGGAAGTGGGTCTTCCCAGCTAAGCCTCAGTTCTTGGTAACTGAATCGTTCAGTATGACCTCAGTTTGCTGTCGTTGCTGCAGAAGTCCTAATCTATCTATGGATGAATTAGCCATAGCACTCTGGTGCCACCCAGTACAATTGTTGTCACTAAGTCAACTGGGACAAGTTTAGGCAAGTATCTGTTTCACGGGATAGCTTTGTACTCCTCAGTACAGCTAAGTTCACAGGTTCCTTGTTGCGAATACATTTTTAGTACTTGGAATGCACACAAGAAGTGGTGAAGGGTTTTAGTTTCCTGTCAGTCTGAAAAAACACACTGTGGAAGGTGGCAAAGACAGACACTTTGGTGCTCTCCTTATTCTTCAAGGCCTTTTCCCCCATTTACTTTATAAAACATTATTTATATTATGTTCTGGTATTGTACTTGAGATTTCAAATTTGGCTAGAAGCAAAAAGCATGATTTATATAGAGAGGCCTACATGCATTGCAGTTACCATTTCCATCTTAGTTATTTGAAAAGCTGTTGAGCAGAGACAATTTCATGTTGTCCTCTGGCTAAAACTACCATAATCCCATTGGGCCAGAGCCTGCCTCACTCCCCAAAGTACTATTGCTAAACCCAGTTCAAGGATCTGTTTCCCTGTTTCAGCAATTTCTGAAGCATTAAAAATACAGGTTTGCTTTCCTGTGAACACAGCCTGCAATTCGAAGGTGCTGTTCATAAAAGCAGCATTCACACACACCCACCCCCTCGGGAATTACTTACAATGAGCACAGCTACCACTGCACCCTGGATAAGTCCTGTTAAAACATCACTCCAGTGATGCTTGTAGTCAGAAACACGTGAGAGACCCACGTAGATAGATGCAGCAATAAGACCAAACTGTATAGTAGGACGTACAAGTCTTGCCCAGTCTCCTTTCATTCTTGCCTGAAGATAAAGCTGAAAGAAAAAGAAAATTTTGTTACAAAATGCAGAAAGCATAGATGCAGTAAAATTATGTTGGGTCTTTTCAAAGAGTTGATTGAAATTTTTTTGAAATAATATTCACAGCTGTTCTAGGTGCTATAGGTATAACTCTTAAGGCTGCCAAGGGAGGGTTTGATAGTTTTGGACTTCAATTTATATATAACCCTATCATATTGTTCCATTCGTACCAATATGACAAATGTTTCAGGATAAAGGTCCTGGTAATATTAGAGCTACTTAAGGCTTAAAAATAATCCAGTGGAAGTCAAACTAGTATTTTACTCCTGCATGAACTACTGGTAAGCCTTATACAAAATAGTTTATATTTACTATACATGGAGCTGACAAATTTTTTAACTTCATTCTCCTTTTCAGTCACCTTAAGTATGATCAGCTTTTAGCACAGCATTGCAGCTGTGTCAGAACTAACGTGATGTAATGCTAGCATTTCTCAGTTGTCACTGCTATTTTCCCTCCTCTCAGCTCTGCTTTTGTTGTGTATATCTGTGTTTTTGATGTATTATCTCCATTTTGCAGTATTTATTACTTTCCCATCTAATCTACTCCAAGACCCTGCCTTTGTTTCTTCTCTGGTCTGTCTAGGATCTGACTGTCTACATCTGTCTACCTCTCTAGTTTCTCCAAATACATTCTGTAAACATAACCAAATTTATTTTGAAACTTAATCCTATCACCAGAGAAAGCACCACAGTTACTGTATTCACTGAGAAAGCAATAATTTGGAAGTTAAATTTAACATTTCAAGTACATCTTCTCAGAGACACCTAGAAACTTCAGGACAAAGACAAAATCTTAGCTGACAGTCTTGAGAAATGTAGAAACCAACAGCCAGGCAGCGCACCAAACTCCTGGTAAAGCCCTCCACTGCTGACTTTAAAAGCCATGGCTATCTTTGAGAAGCAGTACATTCACAATGTAAATACAGGCACAGAGAAGACACTGTAGATGCAGAGGTGATACTTTCCAAAGTTAAACATTTGGGAAATGTCTCTTAGTAACTTACATCATAATTTTGGCATGCTGGCATTTTCAGCTATAAATGGAGCATCAACCCCATCCATAAACAATTTTCTTTAATAGCAAGGTCAGGGTAGAATCAGACTCTAAAGAAGCTGCACCTAAGCCTAAACTGAAAAATAATTTTTCCCCTTCAAATTTGTGGGCACTGCATATTTCTCTGGGCCTCAAACTCACCACTAGGGAAAATACCATTTAGCCACTTCAAAAATTACCTGTCATACAAAGTTCTTTTAACAAAGGGTGTTTTAATGGACTTACAGTGACAGTACTTCTGGATTTACCAACAGTAGACCAGAACACTACTAAGTGCCTAATGGAGCAGAGGAAGGTGCAAGGAGCATGTGCTGGTAGCCTGAAGAGTTGGCTGATTATTTAATATTGGCTGTTCTTTGCTCTTTCTCTGTTCCTACTAAATTTTCCTGAAGGCAGTTAAAATACCTTGCTGCAATTAAGTTTTTTTCCATATAAACATTTTTTGAAGTTGGCAAAGGGTGTATAGCCATAGTAGGAAAAAAAAGTTATGAACCCTTTTGCAGATATGTGAGAAAACAGGTTTACTTATGAACAGAAGAAGAAAATGGGGCAAGGCATGCAAATGCCAACTTGCAAGGATGCCAGCTCAGTGCACTGATCAATAAAGCAGTCTTTGCCCTTACGCAGCATGTATTCAAATTTTCTGCTTGACAAAGCATCAGACAAGAAATTTGAATTTGACATTATCCTAGGGTGATGTTATGATGCTCATATCCCCAGTCATGTGTTCTGTTTATGCTGGATACTATAGTCTGTGTCTTCAAGACAGGCTCTGAGAGCAAAGGCGGGGAGAAGAAGTAGCACAGTTTATCACCTGCACTCACTCCACACTCGGCCCTGACTGTATTGTCTGGGCACAGTCAGAGCAGAACAGAGCCCTCCTTTGCTTCTAGCTAGTTTAGCTAGCTGAGGCAGTGGAGTTTTCACTGGACTGTTTTTCCCTTTTCTTGGAACTGTTCGAACCTGCTCCCAAGCTCACACTCTGTGGCCCACCGGGGCCTGCTCTGGGCAGCAGCAGCCTTTCCCAAGCACCAGAGGACTGATAACAGAGCAACTACCTACTGGAGAAACATTCTAAATTTATCATCTCTTTAGAGCAGCAAATTAGTTTTGTCATCTGGTATTGTTCATTTTGTGTGCTGGGGAATGGTTTGCCTATTATATAAACAGGTTTTTTGCACTTCTCTCTGAGGAAATTGGTCTCTGGTGGGAGGAGCGTTCTGGGGGGGGGGCCCTTTTGGGGGTTGTCTTCGAAATTTGCCCTAAATCAGGACACATCTATGTGAAAGCTTGATTTCTGTGCTTTGAGAGTAATCTCCCATCACAGAGAAGATCTGGAGCTGATCTTTCAGCTGCAGAGCACAAGCAGTTGGCTACAGACTTTACAAATTCTAGGTGATTCTTCACACCATCAGCTTCTCTATCTGCACAGGACATGGCCAAAGGCCTTCTTGCACCTTATACTAACAAACAGATTTACAGTGTTCTAAAACTAGGTGTGAGAAGTGTGAGAAATTATACCACAGATAAGTGTTAGGCTGACTGATCACTCCCATGTTTAATTTCAGAAATAGCAGCTGGTTACAATTGGGTTTGGGTTTTTTGGGTTTTTTTTGTTAAGTTGAAAATAATCGCTTATTAACCAGCTGCTGCAATAGCAAATGCCATCTTATTGTTAAGCAGGTAACTTCAAACTGATGCTGCTTTTAACAGGCTCAGAGTTGTGCTACCCTGCCATGCTTCTTCCCACTACTGTGACTTGCTCTTAGAAGGCCACCAGCAACATGTCTGCCTGCAACAGGCCATTATGTCATGCAGCAAAATACAGCAGCCAAGGAGAGGAGGAGCTTTTGCCAATAATTCATTAAATGCAAGTCAAGATTAATACTGGAAGTATTTCCAACTTTCCTTTAGATAGCATTAGTCCTTATGTGGCATTAAATGCACAATATGGAGATGTCCTAGCCCCAACACTGCTACTATTAACTCTTGCTACTATTTTGACCCTGTTAACTAACATGGCTTCATGCTATTTACAGAACCCCCTCCTTTATGGCATACCTGAGGTTCCTTTACTCCTCTTTGAAGTCATAGCATGGCCTTAGAGAAAGAAACCAGAAGCAAATCCCTGTCTCCCCACCCAAGCGTCTTTTCTAGAAAGAAGTGTAAGTGTGTAAGTAAAACGTGTGATCTATAAAACCACAGGAACTTTAGGAAATCTCATCTGGTTAATACTACTGAAATACCTCCTACCAGCCATTTCACATATTGCTGAGAACAAATTTGTGAGCCTACGAACACAGCAGGAGCATCCCAAACTGCTCTGGTAGAGACATGCTCCCATCAGCATTTTGACCATGCCAGCTTCCCTCCACCCTGTTCTGAGCATTCTGATCCTTCAGCTGTTGTCATTTAGCTATGCTCTATGGTTCTCCGCTCCCCCATCCTACTTCTTGTGTTTGCATCGTTCATTCCTTTTAAAGTGCAAAGATATTTCAGAAGACTTCTTTTCAATGGGATTAATCTTCAGGTTTTTCCCCTACTAGTTTACTCCATAATGAAAATATGTCCTCTATGCCACACACATCCTGAACACAAATGTCCTCTTAATCTATGGTCTAGTACTTCATTTCTAAAAATACATACAAGCAATGAAGAGAAACTCTCAGCTACTTTGTGGCTTCTTGCAAGAAGCCACAGACATGAATGGAAGGGTCTCTGCAACTGGAGAATTATTTGCTACTTCACATTTCTAGCATGGCTTTTGAGCATTTGCTCTTTCACAGGAACAGTATTAATTTACATAAACACATGCCTACCTAATTTGGAAGTACAGTGACTTGTGTTTCCTAGATGGACTTCTGGAGGTGCAACCGTGTGGCTTCACAAGGAATTTTCCTAACAGTTAATATAGGGCACAAAATTCTTTTAAATCTACCAAAACCTACCCAGTTCATCAACCAAGATAATATTTAGATATTTAGTTTCAATACCTAGAACTCCTTTGTTATTTTTCATTCAATGCCTTCTCTTATTTTTTCCAAAATCCAATTATACAGAAATTCTGCACTGCAAAATAACAAGTGCCTCCTGCACTTGTTCAAGAATGGAAGTCAAAAGGAAGAAATCTGGAGCTGGGGGGGTATTGTGGTGATGTTCTCTCACCAAGTAATAGTACTACTTCTAACAATTCATTTGTTCTGATACTTCTCAAAAATAGATTTTCTCCTGATCCAAAAGGCCCAGTAATTGCATTTCCTACAAGGGTCCTGTCCTAGAGAACAGAAGGCACACCTTCCCCTTAGAGATATACCTATTTTCACTCTTATTTCTGTCTCTCCAATCCTAATGGACTCACAGCATCATTAACTTGAGAGTGAGAAAACAGTTTCCAAGAGAGAAAATTCACCTGTGACATAGAGAAATGAGAGTTCTCAGTTTGTTCAAGTACAAGTAGTAAGACTCTGGACACAAAACAGAGGTGCAGAAAGTCTGTTCTCTTGAAATAAATCTCTACTTTGAGAGACATTAGTAGTTGATACAAGTTTTAGAAATGAGCAAGTAAATGGCATTTACTTTACTTAGCATTTACTATTAGTCATGTCTGTCTTTGGTTTACAGTATCTGCCTGAGCAGTACAGAAGAGCCCCATGGCGTTACTGTTCTAGGAGGCACAAAATACTGCTGTGGTTACAGTTAGTATTTGGATCCATTATTGGTTACCACGTTAGGAAAGCTCATACTTCAAAGCAAGTCTGCTGACCCAAAAAGTCCCAAGAGCCACAAACCAGAGGGATTCTTCCCAAACCAAGAAGCTCTGATTTAGGAATGCTTAAGAACATTCAAGTCCATGTACACAAGTATGTGGTTTGCTTTGGGATTTCAGAGCTGGAGGGAGT